GAGCAATGAACACACGTCCAATGGTTTGAATCATACCTTAGATTCACTACTTCAAAAGGTGTGTACAATTATAATGTATGGTTATCAATTTTTTTATTAGTATCACCGATATATATCAAATGATTCTTGATCAATAGGTACACGACTTCAAGTATCATTGGGAAAAGGAGTATGCTCCCATAATTGAGGCATGACGGAGAGAGGTGGCCTTAAAGCATTTTCATTTTGGATGTTAGTTGAAGTATTATTGTTTTACAAACACACCCTATATGTTTGATTTTAACTGATTTAACAATGTTGAACACGTTAGGCTTTGAATTGGTTTATATGTTTGAATTTAAACTCATTCAAGAATGTTGGACATGTAGGCTTTGAATGTTTATATCTGGTGATTTTGTGTGGGGAAGCATGTAAGATTTTACTAAACATCCAGAGATTTTCAAGACTGGAGTAAAAACCACTTTATAACCACATTTAGTTACTATAATGTCCAATTGTTTCTTTCTTGAGCAAATAAAATCAAAGGAACAACAAATAAAATAAATGTCATAAAGCATTTCTGCACTTGATAATCTAACCACCAAATATAAAACAAGTACAAATTAATGTTTACTCGAGTCTAATCACGAAGCATGAAGAAATACGTAGCATGCGAAATTAATACTCAAGGAAATTTATATATATATAATTACTAGCTAATCATTAAATAAAACCTCATAAATAAAACCTAATTAATAAAACCTCATTTATTTTCCCACCAAAAGAAGTTACAAAATTTGTAATTCATATTTTGTTTTTCACATTAATACACCTTATTTAAGTGTAATAATGTAAAAAAATTAATAGCATTAACTATTATTAATATAATAGCAAAAAAATATCATTAACTACTATAATAGTAATAATAATAATAATAATAATAATAATATCTTGAAACAGTAAAATTGTTTATACTTATGTAATTTATATTTAGTGTGAAATATTATGAGTTGGTAATAGCATTAACTATTATATAATATAATAGCAAAAAAATAAATGATTACACTTAATAGGGTGTATTAATGTGAAAGGCAAATATGAAAGACAAATTTTGTAACTTTTTGGAAGGAAAATAAATGAGGTTTTATTAGTTAGGTTTTATAAATACATGATTACACTTAATTAGGTTTTATGAATGATATTATTATTATTATTATTATTATTATTATTATTATTATTATTATTATTACTATTCTTATTATTATTATTATTTTAATTTTGTATTTCATGAAACAATTTTTTTTAGAAAGAATTAGTAAATAGTTTTAATAGTATAGTAAAAAAAACCTTAAAATCTTATAAACAATTGTCGTTGTAATAAGAATAGTACTAATAATAATAATAATAATATAATAATAATAATAATAATAATAATAATAATAATAATAATTATTATTATTATTATAATAATATTTTCAATTAAACTATTTGACCATGATCTCTCCAAATTATAAAAAATACATTACCCACAATTATTTTAAATCAATATAGTGATTCATATGTACTCAAATAATTTATATAAATATTATTTTATTTTTATTAATGAATAAATCTTGAAAATGTAGTATGTCCATTATCTAGAATTTTAATATTAAATTTACATATCTTGAAAATGTGATGTGTTTATTATTTAGAATTTTAATATTAAATTCACATATCTTGAAAATGTGATATGTTTATCATCTATAACTAGTACAACACCCGTGTATTACACGGGTGTTTGCTTATTTTTTTCTTAAAATTTAAAATCAATGAAAAAAAGTAGTTTGAAAATTTAAATATCTTTTATAAGAATATATATATTATTATATATTTATTATGATAATTTTTATTTTTGCGACTTACTTGTGTTATATTATACTAATTTTTTAATTTATAATATATAACTACATTAAATATAAATATATCAATTGAGAAATAATTTTATTTTTCTAATGAATTTTAATAAGTATTATTATTTTTTATTATTATAAAGATAAATGTAATTTATTTATTTTATATATACAATATGGATGTCAAATCGAAGATCATCAAAAGATAATTAATTTGATATATTATATATGTAAAACCGATAAGAAATACAAAAGTTATCA